CTAAAAATCTTGTACCTGGTACATTCATTCTAGTAAAAGTGTTGTGTGGAAACAGAAATTCTACCAAGTATAGATACGTTGTTAAACTTGAAGGGATAGTAGACGGGAATGACTACAATGTCTTGGGGTTAAAATCATTAGACACCACAAAACTAACTTTTAAAATTGTTCCTAACGACTCGTTTACCGTAAGCTTGGAGGACATCATAGCCATTCTAGAACCTCCAGTAAAAACTTCGGGAGGCCGCGGAACAAGATATGTATTTTCGAAATCGGTTGATGTTTTTGAACGTTAAATTTTATTTAGTTAGGTTTTGTACCTTTTCTGTGCATTTATGTTAAGTTTAAAGACTATATTATTTTCACTTGTAACCAAAGAAAGTGCCAAATTTGAGTTTTGTTATTTTTATAAAAAATAAAGTTTCAGTTTGATTTCAACTGAAGTTTTATTTTCATTTTTGATAAGATAGTTTATTAAAATACTACTCATATGACAAATGATAGGGGGTGACTTTGATAATCGATGTAAACTTATGGATTATCAAAGACGCCCCAAGCGCACATAACATTGATAAAAAAATATATTGAGAGTGAAGGAATATGGATTACATTGATAACTCTTAGACCAGAAGCATTCGTTTTAATGCAAAAATACAGTGCCTATCAAAGTCACCCCAATTTGAGTATGGCTTTGAGAATAAACTTATTATTATTTTGAAGCAAGTATACAATTATTTGAATTTTTTTAAAACACTGGATGTCTTCATTAGGCATGTTGTAAATACATAACATTTTTTTTACGCAAAACTAAGTGTAGTTTTAGTGTAATTCACGATTTATTTTAAAAAGCTATCAATGTCACCCCATTTGACGGTATATTTAAATCTTCCTTCTCCTCCTGCTTATTTCCATAATTTGCTTCCATTTTAATATACGATTAAAATTCATTTCTTAACGACGACCCGTAAAATTAAAATTTACAATTACATTGTTTCATTACCATTGTCATTCTATTTTTGTCTTAAAATTCTAAATATCTTTATCTCTGTTTCAAATCATCGTGCTCCCTATTTGTTCTCCTACAAAATATTAAGAGAGGCATTTAGTTCTACTGGGAATGAATTTTCTATCGCCTTTTGAATAGAAACGTCGTCAAGAATACGGTTTGTGAAATTTTAGTAGAACTACGCCAACTTTCTGTCAGTTTTATTGTGTGTCCGTTAAGAATGTGACCCCAAGGTGATTCCATGTTTCTTTTTACCAAATACCAAAGTAAGGACGGCACAATAAAAATGTTTAAACAAAAAAATGCAGTAATTCTTTCTTATAGTACAGTATTTAACAGCAATAGTTTAAAATTACGTTTTTTAATACTGGTGCTGTTTTACGATTTCGGTAAATAATGGACATTTTATCTATGAATTAAATAGTAGCTAAGAGTAAATTTTAATAAGCTTAATCAACTTTACAAATTATTATGCCACCCTGAAATAGCAAGAATGGATTCGCTCTAAAAACCTTCCATATGTTTTGGAAGACGTAAAGAATAACTTCTCTTTTCGTGACAACGTTAATTTAGACGTCTTAATGTCTTTAAAAAGTAGCCCTTCTACACAAGTCGCCACTGTTTTTACTTGAACACGAAATTTTAAAATAAAAAAAAATCCATTGAGTTATATATTGTAAACATAATATGTTATAATTAGATTATCTCTGCTTAATAATCATTTTTAGTATATAAATAGGAGTAAATTTTTATTATTATTATTATTATTATTATTGTTGTTATTTGAGATAGCTTTAGTGTAGGCTTTAGTCCAGAGTTGTTCTAAATATCCATTTAAGTGTATTTTTACTAACTCCGTTCATGAGAACTAATTTGTCGGCATAGTCCTCCTCTTATACCCCTACCTTCAAATTTTTAGGATCAAGTTGTCGCCTAGCATTTCCCCTATCGTAGGAAATACCTTAGCTGATTTATTTAGTATTATGTTAATTAAAGATTTCAATGTATTTAGTAAAAGTTTGAGTCCAAAAGAGAAAGTTTTTAGTGAATTTGATATAGAAGAATAGTGAGGTGAAGTTAGATACTTTGTTATTTGTGTATTATAGGCATAATATATCTGTCAGGAGAATGAGATAAAAGCATAGGCGCCGAATCCCCGGGGCTCTGGGTGCGCAAGCACCCAGAGCAATTTTAAACAGGGTGCGGAGCACCCATAGCACAGCGAGGACATAATGTGTCAATAAGTGAAATAAAGAAGCTGTCGTGGCACAAGTTGGTATAACGACAGATGCCTCAATAAAATATTGTCGTTCGGAGCTGTATTTTTTGTGATAAAAAAGTCGCCGTGACTTGTCAGAGACAACGCGTTGAACTTGGACTTAAGGGTTTATTATTATTGGTGTATTAATCCCTATGAAGTCAAAAAAGAAAGATTATTAACGGTCTACAATTATCAATTTTCACAGAATGTGTTTAGTCAAATGCCCTACTCTTTACAAAAATAAAATAATTTTATAATTTCTAATAAAATTACATCCTATTTAAAAATAAAAAAAATATTCGATGAACAGGGTTCATAAAATATCACGCAACTTCTGGCATTTGTTTGACCTCTCCTATTATTCAGTTATTTTAAAAACAAACTCATAACCTTGCAGGAATTTAAGATATCAACTGAGAAGAATTTGCATACTTCATCTCAGTCTGTGTATGAGACCGTTGAAATCAAAAAAAGAAAAGTTGTAATATATCCATGAAACTAGAAAAAGAAGATTGATACTACATCACGGCGACATATTATGGTGATCGAAAATAGCGCGCGAAAATAAATTTTAATTGGCTCATGGAAAATCATCCATATTTCACACCACAATACGTCATGCGCGAACTCGTATCATGTAATATATCTCAAAGTTGACAACAATAAAATATGATTACATCATTCAACGGAAGCATCATGCAAGTATTAAAAATTAAAAACCGATTTTAAAATCGTGCAGATGCAATCACCACATCTTAACCAAATTTATATAGACTACCCCTGAGGTAACTTCTTACTAGCAAAAAAAGAATCATAGAAATCAGACAAGAATTATCTCTAAACATATATAAAAAATGAATAGATTCAGGATTTCCTCATCTACCCAATTATTATATTTCCACCAAAGTTATATGGGACCACCCATAAAGTCCCCCCTTTCTAACAAAAAAAGAATCATTAAAACCGGACACCGTGTTAAATAATTATCGCTGAACATACATAAAAAAATATATTGACGAATTGAGAACCTCCTCCTTTTTTGAAGTCGGTTAAAAATGCGGATCAAAGTCGGAGAGTAACAAAACACAACATTTCTGTTTACTCAGTTAGTTTTTGAAATATGATTTATATAAGATCTTTTTTGAGTTTCAACCAGTACAGACCGAAATAATTTTGAGCATAGCATAGCATAAAAGCATTCGTAAGTATTGTAAAATTTGTAAAATTCTACTATACTTTTAATAATATAATTTAATATATTTTATATATTTATATATTTATCAGATCATTGCAATAGCAGACAGCAACAAAATCAAGAAAAACTTGTAAGGAAAACTAACTATTTTCTCCACGTTTCATTCGCAGATAAGTCAGAAAACGTGTAAATTAATATCTTATGAAACATTTATTAAATACATTATTTATAAAGCTAATTTATAGATTTTATTATTTTAGTAGCTTAGTTGATATTCTTGGGACAATGAATTACGAGTATTTTAGAAAATATATACGTATTATATAAATATAATGCTTTAACCTAATGTTTTTTAATCAAACTATTTGTTAAATATACTGAAATATTGCAAATTCTATATTTAAACCAAAATTATCTCATGTAATAAATATTCCCAACATCGAGCAATACTAAATTTCAGATTCATCATATATGTACCCCTTATTTCGTATCTGGCCAAATTTCAATACTAAGTTGACGAGGAAGAAAATATCGCCCATCCCTCGGTACGAACACGGAACGTCTTGAGAGGGGATATTGTAGTCATATTTTTTAATAGTTTTTATATAAGAAATTACTTTGATATTTTAATAATTACGGCTTTATATTAAGTCCAATTTTAAAAATTATTTTTTGATCTTATTAAGAAGAAGATTTACAACAAGTTGACCTTAATCGTTCGAAAAATAATACATGCTTGTTAATGTTCATTCTCTGTTAAAAGTTGTCCATTTTTTAACAAATTTATTAAACTTTATTATTTTTTGACAAAACGGACAATTTTTTCAAAAAGTATGCAAACCCAGGGCTAGTGCCACTTATTCTCTTTGCACATAATTTTTGTAACAGAATATTATTGTATTCGAATATGTCTGTTAGTAGTGATAGTGATGAAATTATGAGCACTCCACCGGAGATTTTATGTCCTTTATTTGATAGAAGAAAATAAGTGGGCGTAGAAAAAGTATAGTACGTTACACTAGTTGCAAGCCCATTAGGCACACGTGAAATTTACGCACGAATCCGAATAGCATCGAGTGCGTAAACTTTTTTACTTCGTGCGTAATGGGTTACTTACAACTCTTGTAACGTAATATACTATTATTACTATTATTAAAAAAAGAGCAACTAAACTCAAAACCAAATAGTGTTTTTGTTCTGAATACACCCTCAAAAGCACGGAGTTTCCGTAATGATAATAATAAACACAAACTACTTATATATGTACAGAAAGTTTTGTGTGTCTTTAGGCAACCATATTAGATATTATTGACAGGTCGTTAGAGTGCCGAATTTAAACGTTTAGTTCGATGACGCATACAACATTTGATACAAATTGATTCAAAACTTTTCAAGAAATAGAAAAAATAGTTTTAATAAAAATTTTAATAACAGATTTCTCTATAATATTATTTTATAAGCGTCGTATTTGGTACCGAGTAATTAAAATCAAATGAATATTATTGACTCAGTAAAAAACTTTTTTTTGTTTGTTTCAGGAGCTATTTTCGAACAAGGCACCGATGACGTCCAAACTGCTTTCAAATTCGCCATGTTGCAGCACAACCAGAACGTTTCAAGTAGAAAATTCGAGTTTCAAGCATACGTTGACGTTATAAATACCGCAGATGCATTCAAACTGTCCAGATTGAGTAAGTACGGCGATTATATTCACCATTTAAAACCAAAAATTGAAAAAACTAGGAAAAACTGAGATTGCTCTTATGATTAATGCGACTATTAGGGTCTGAAAATGGTCTGCGAGAAGTGTTGTTGATGGAGGTATTTTTGTTTTAAGTGACTTAAAATGTTGGAATATAACTTACAATATTGAAATATAGTCCAAGTCGGGAATAACATATTAAAAATATTATTTCAGGTTGGACTACTTTTAAAAATATACAGTATGTTGCAATATTTAGAACGACAAGCTTTGTTAATTAGTGAAGATGATAAAGTCTCGGAAATACCCCTTCGCTTTCTTTATTGTTTAAATGGATGAAACAAAAAGTTACTAGATTTATCAAAATAATTTTGATTTTGTCAGTTGGTTAAAAATTTAAATATTTTAATATTTAAAATGTTTTTAAACGTATTCAACAAAATAATGGAACAATTTAGCAATTAATCAAAAATTTTAATCCTAAACGTAGATTTTTATTTTAAGAAACACAAATCTATTCGCGAGCCTCTTGGAAAGATGTACAATCAAAGGGCTGCAGAGGTATTAAATATTTCGCAGAAAACTATCTATAGACTTATAAACGTACAAATTCCGATACAAAGTATGTGAGAATAATGTTTAAAAAACATGCATTTGAAATTTTATTGGAGAAAACCTTATATCATTATGCAAGTAAAATGCTATCAGTCAATCAACATGGGTTTATGAAAGGTCGCTCAACAGTTACCAACCTGGTTACCGTCACACAATACATTGCTGAATCCATTGATGAGCGTACCCAGACTGATGTCATCTACACAGATTTTTCAAAGGCATTTGACAGACTTGACCACGGTATTCTTCTTGGAAAACTTACAGGGTTTGGGTTGTCCCCCCCTTTGATAAATCTCTTTCAGTGCTATCTAGTAAATCGTACTCAGTTTGTATAGCTTAATGGGTTTAAGTCTGTCAAATTTGCAACAACATCTGGAGTTCCTCAGGGTTCCATTCTGGGCCCGTTACTATTTAATATTTTCATCAATGATATTTCAAGTGTAATTAAAGAGCAGTTTCTACTGTATGCAGATGATTTAAAATTATACAAGCGTGTGACAAGTATTGGCGACTGTGAACAACTTCACATGAACTTAAATCTAGTGGTTGAATGGTGTAATAATAATAAACTTGAACTTAATCCAATTAAATGTAAAGTTATGTCTTTTTCTTTAAAAACCGACCAAATAAAGTATAATTATTTAATAGATAATGTCTCACTTCAGCGACTAGATACTTTTACAGATCTTGGGGGTAATTTTTGATCCCGGATTGATCTTTATATGTCACATAGATAAAATGATTGAAAAATCGTATCGTATGTATGGTTTTATAACTCGCTGCACCAGGGATTTCAAAGATGTAGCCACATTAAAAACGTTATATTACTCTCTTATAAGATTGAGTATGCGTCTGTCGTCTGGAGTCCATTTTACCAACTTCACACGGATCGAATTGAAGCAGTTCAAAGGCGGTTTCTAAAATTACTGTGTTTAAAGGAGGACGGTGTTTATCCGCCAATCGGAATACCAAACCAAAATCTTCTTCAAAGATATCACTTTTTAAGCCTCATAAAAAGACGTGAATACCATTGTTATGTGTTAGGTTTCAAAATTGTTAACAGTTTAATTGATTCTCCTGAACTGTTGAGAAAAATTGATATCTGCATTCTGAGAGTATCCTTTAGAAATTCTAACATATTTCACATATCTGTACCTCGCACAAATGTTCTGAAAAATTCTCCATTTCATACTATTAGCCGCGTTGTGAATAGTGTGAGTAGTGACATTGATATCTTCTCATGCAAACTCAGGGAAATAAAACGTCATTTCCTAACATAAAAAAAAATGTTTTTTATTGTATTTTACCTACTAGCTGTTTACTAATTTTTGTATATTTTGTACCACTTAGTCTATATAATGTATGTGTTCTTTTATTCCTGCTCTGTAATTGGGATTGCCTGTAGAGCATTGTAATAAATAAATAAATAAATTAGCCAAAGTAAAACAAAAGTCAATTCTTTAAAATTAAGTAAGTTCAGGCAAGTTATACATATATAAGATGCACAAAGGTGCGCAACATGTAACCATGAACTCGTTACATAAACGATTTTCGATTATTATTTGTTCATGTATGTGAAATTTGCGTCTAAGATTTATAAAATACTACAGAAAAATACTAAACTCTTCCATTCCATCATCTAAAATAAAGTTAGGTTAGAATTATGATGTACAAATAATGGGGGATACATCCGATGTACAAATATTTCGTATACATCCGATGTACTGCCAGTCACGGCGTTTTAAAAATGCAGACCTTATACTTAAAAGTCAAACAAAAAGTGGGGATTATCATAATAATATTATTTATATTAAAAATCGTTTAACCCAGTTATACCTGATTTTTTTTGTTTGTGCTAGAATTTTTATTATTAAAAATAGGATAATTTGGACTTATCATATCTCTGTATCTGTAACGTGTGGAGGGTGGGTTACCCCCACGGCACTTAGGCCTCACTAGGCCTATTGTATATCCTCTTAAGATGATAGGCACCTCCTAGGTCGTGAACCAGCCTACAGATTTAATGTAATTGACAACGTCGTCAAGAGGTGCTTCTCTTATATCGGCCGATGTTAGCCGATACTCACCAAACACAAATCTTCTAATAAATGAGAGCGTCGAGCAATCGTAAAGGATATGCTCGATGGTCTCATCTTCCTGTTTGAACCCCCTGCAGAGTGCGGATTCTGACAGCCTCATGCTGCTTACGTACTTAAGAGCTCCCTGGCAACTCTGCAATTTCTTGTTTTATCCCATCTTTCCTTGAATTTCTCAAGGGAATGTTCTTTAATTAGGTCTGTCACTACTGATTTTGTCAGGCCAATAGAAAGGCCAGGTCAAAAAAGTATTTGGTTGGCTGTTTTCTTGGCTAGTGAATCAGCAAGACGGTTACCTTTCGATATGGCGTGACCTTTTATCCATCTTAAGGTGGCCACATTGTTGATGAATACTTTGGCCAAAACTTCGTGATATTCTTGTACTAAACGTGAGTTAATTCGTGGTATGTTCAGGGTGAGTAGTGCTTGTCTGCTTTCTGTATAGATGAGCATGTTCCTTCCAGTGATGTTGTTTCTGGTTATTTCTTTTGCTGCTATGGGAATCCCCGTTAGCTCTGTTTAAACTACACTGGCACTATTGCTCACAGCCCATTTTATGTTTAGGTTTAAGAGAATATTCCACATCCTGAACCCTGTTTTGTTTTAGAACCGTCGGTGTAGCTATAAATCGTACCTGTCACTTCTGGTTCTTCTATTTGTTTTATTATTCGATTTTTTAAAGAGCTATTTGCATAACAGACAACAACAAGTGAAAATAAATAATATGTTTAGTCGAACAAAAGACATAACGTGTGGAGTACCACAAGGGACGGCGTTGGGCCCTTTGCTATTTACAATTTACATAAATGATTTATTTTTACTAGAAAACAAGGGCCAAAAAATAATAAGTTTTGCTGATGACACTGTGATCATTTACAAAGGAAATAATTATTATGACTTAAAAATAAAAATAGAAACCAGCTTTTTAAAAAATTAAAAAAATTCTAGATAACAGGTTACTATCGTTTAATATCCAGAAGACAGTGTACATACCTTTTAGCAGCCAATCAACCTCACAACCTACTTTTGATTTATCCATAAAAGATGAATTTAATATACGACCTGCGAAAGAAATAAAATATTTGGGCATCATTTTAGACTGCTGCTTTAGATGGGATATACATATTAATTATCTGCTAAAAAAATTAAGATGTATATTGCATCGATTTAAATTTTTTAAATAAAAAAGAAAAAAAAAATGGTATATCAGAGTTTGATAGAGTCTCATCTAAACTATGGAATAATAGGATGGGGAGGTGTCTCAAAGTGTACCATAAATCATTGAAAATATGTGAAAATCGTTTTCTTAAAATAATACTTAACACAAACACAAGATACTCCACTGAATCTCTCTATGCTGAAACAAATATCCTCGATATAAGACAACTATACTACGTCCTATTAAACACAAGACAATATTTAAATAGAGATCGACTAAAGACATACGAACATAGTTATGAGACAAGATATAGACATAAATATGTGATACCCTTAATGACCAAGAATAATGGACAAAAGAGTTATCTGTACTTGAGAACCAAATTATTTAATAGCTTACCCGACAATATCCAAAGACAAACAAACTTTTAAAAGTATGCTTAAGGATTATGTTAATGGCAGACCTAGAAAAGAAATACACGACTTAATTGAATAAAATAATATCATTTATACAAATACTTACTTGTACATTAGATTTTTATAATTTTATGGTTCGATTTTATGTTCTAATAAGATATTTTCTAACATTAGGTAATATGTTTTTTTATATTTTTAATGTTTTTGCATTTTAAATAATTTTATAATTTTATGTATCTATATTTTTAACGTTTTTAAATTTTAACTTACAATACTAATATAATTATACTTCTCATAGTCACGTACAGGACATGTCAATATGGCTACTGTGACTTATTGTTTATTATATGTTTTTTATGTATGTATATTTTTAAATTATATTTGTAAAATTATCGATTCATATTAATAAACATTCATTCAATCATTTATAACTTTATATGGCTTATTTCGGTGAGATGTTCGCTTGAAGCAGTAGGGGGAGGTATCAAGCGCCTCCTGCCAAAAGCATCGTCTCGCATCTTACATCAGGTTCTATTCCAACCGTGCGGTGGCATGTCATTGTCGTCAGAGCAACCTCCTTGATGTAAAAATCAAGGGGAGTGAGACTAAGGATGACTTTCATGGCTCTGATCGGTTTTATTTTCATGGCTCCTGTTATGTTGAGACGTGATGTTCATTGAATTTGTTCTACTTGACTGATAGC